CCTGTGACATCATGACACAAAAAAGGATCCTGTATGTCCAACTTGACACAGATGAGGACAGTCCCAGAAGAGTTAAGTGACTTGCCCATGGTCATTCATATAACTAGTGTGTGCTACAGCTAGGAATTAAGTTTGCCTCTAAGTTCAGGTCTCTTTCCGCTATACTACACTATCTTAGCATAGTATAACCAAGAGGCTACCTTTAAAACATCTGGTCCTTCTCCAACAACTCACTGTGGTTCTCAAAAAATCTGCCATGTTTGTGAGCTGTGGCAGGTTCTACAAATTTGGAAAAGCTTCAAATTTGGGCCCAGTGACACTATATGTTTGCTGTCTAAAAACTAGCCTAGCTAACGTTCAAGGAGCATCAATCACCACACACCACCACTCTTCAGGTTTATGAATTTTTTGGCCGCACTAATTATCCAAAACAATTCATAGGGAGGCTGCCATCTTGGCAAGTGAAAGAATTATTCAAAACACTAAAACTGAAAAAATTCAACAAGATAAAAATTTTAAGATTATTAGAAGAAGTCAAACTCTGAGTAACAAAAAATGAATGAAGGGCCTTGAGGGTAAGTGTTGAAATACACCCCAAGCCCCTTCTCATATCAGGGAGTTAAGTTATATACAATGAGAGATGTGGTCACTGCATCATATGTTTTTGTTTTTCTTTTTCTTTTTCACAGAAGAGTGTTCAATTTAAGGAATTCCCCTTTCTACAAATAAATATGATAAGATATCACCAAAGGTATTTTTTAAAGAAAAAATAAGCATAGCACATAAAAGATTCTGGTTATCTGAATCTATGGTATAGGTACTCCTAGACAACTACAAAAAGCTGAGTAGAACAGCCAGAAGTAGGTTATTTCAGGAGATTAATAAAATCATGTTCCATTTTCTTTCACACTTAGCTTCAAGGGGTCATATTTCCAATGTCATTACATTTCCTTGTTGAAGGAGGGTAAATCATCGGGGGTGTGTGTGTGTGTGTGTGTGTGTGTGTGTGTGTGTGTGTGTGTGTGTGTGTGTGTGTGTGTGTGTGTGTGTGTGTGTGTGTAGGTTTTGAGGCTGTGGTGGCCTGGGTAGGAATATGGATGACAGATACCAGAGTCTGATAAAAGTACTTACTTCCCACCTTCCCAAGGTTTCCTCAGCTATACCTATTCACTGAGACTCATCCTTAGCCTCACTTCAGCAGCAGCTGTGAAAGGTGAATACAATTTTAGCACTTCCACGCTTCCTTCTGACTATGCTTGACAGAATACATTTTTCCATAAAAAATATATAAGGATGGTAAAGTTTCTAGTTTAACACATAAAAAGTCTACTTAGTCCATAATTCAGCTAATACAGCATACATACCACAGTTTAATTTTCTTCTATTTTTCATGACAAATGTATTCTCCTGAAGTTATATTATGAGGCTAGCCTAGGTACTTAACCACAACTCATCTTCTGTGGAAAAATGCAGATTCCAGAGTGATCAAATTACAAAATGAATGTTTGGAACACTTGTTTTTACGTTAGGAAAGCTTGTATTTTGAATAAAATAATATGTAACACTAAAATGGTCCACTAGAGGGACCACAACCCTTTACACACAAAAAAGAATCTTTCTATTTTTGGGGGGATATAAAAAAACTAAAGATATTTTATAAGAAAAAATAAATAGGACAAACAATCTGAAAAAATGTGAATGTCTTCCAAAGTAAGAGAGAAAGATACAGAGAAGAAAGGATAAAACTGAAGGGTATGCAACGTGCACACAAACACACGCAAACGCAAACACACACACACACACACACACACACACACACACCCAGGCACAAGTGATTTGGTTCATGGATATGATTAGGCTGCTGCTCAGAGCATGTCACCAGTCTACACCAGGGGTGAGGAACTTGTGGCTTCAAGGCCACACGTGACCCTCCAGGTCCTCAAATGCGGCCCTGTGACTAAATTCAAACTTCACAGAACAAATGTTTTTTATTATGGGATATTAAGGGGACTCTACACAATACATGCAATGCAAATGTTATTTAAAAAAAACAAAACCAGACTCTCTCATGGGACAGCACTGTCTGTAAAAGAAGTCTAGACTTGGACTCACAGGATCTAGGATCCTATTCCATCCCTGCTACTCACTACCTGTGCAAACCTCAGGCAAGTCATTAACCACTCTGGATCTCAGTTTCCTCATCTGTAATTTGAGGGAGCTAGAACAGAAGATCTCTAAAATTCCTTCGAGCCCTAGAGCTTATAAGTGGCCTTCTTTCCCCCTTATGCCAACTATAAGACTTGACTGCACTTTAAAACTGTATTAAAAACGTGACATTTAAAATCTTACAACTAGGCCATCAAACATGGTGGGGAAAGTTTGAAATCTTGTACATGCAAAGATTCTCAACTTTTTCTCTTTTAAGTTCTAGCCTCATATGTGTATGCGGAAAGGCAGTTCTTCCAAAGAATAAAAGCAGCCTACCAGGGCCACAAATACCTCATACAGCTTAAAATGATGTTCCAAACTGCAACAGTTTAAAAATACTCTAATAGGATTGTAAATATTAGAGTACCTACTGTTTCAACTATTTACAGGTTTCAAAAAACATTCAATATTTTCTAGCATTGTAAGATTGACAGCTGAAAAGGACCTGAGAAAATCTTTCAGTCTCTATCTCCTTATTTTATAGATGAAGAAATTGAAGGTTAAAAATGTTCAATGACTTGCCTGAGGTCAACATGGGCAGTAAGTAGCAGGGCTGGGACTTTAACTTAGATCTCCAAATCCAGACAAAATATTCATGAATAAGTGGGATCCTATGAACTCGTGAATGCATTTATTCTTCGGGAAATAATTCAATGACTCTAGGATGTTCATCTTTTATAAAAATTATATATCAAGATTCTACTGAACCAAAATAAATTTCTCTAAATCTAAAGTTATTATGGGAAAAATACATGTGAATATTTTGTATTTTTGCATGCACAGTCTGACAAGCAGGGACATTTGTGTTTTTATTTTCTCCACAGCTTCAAAGTGCCTGGCACATTGAAGCTTTGGTTAAATTAATGAATGAAAGCCATGAAAATATTTTGAAAACTGAGGTTAATTTTATTTTCCAACTATCTGTAAGTAAGAAGCTTTAATGATTCATTAAGATGCCATTCAGTTCCATAGTCTTAAAAGTACCAACATTGAAGGTATTCAGAATGTAATGTTGGAAATTCTTAAAACAGTTAAATATAAAAAAGGAAGGAATGTGATGATTCTGATGTTATGGTCTAGTAGCAGGAGAGTTAGGTCAACCCATCTCACACCATGTCATTAGAATCCCTCCTGTAATGTCGAACCAACTGTCTGAGATGCTAAAATCAAATTGTCAGTGAAGATTCCATCCTTGTTCCCAAAATAATGTTATTTCACCTAATATCTTGTTTATATAGAATCAAATTAAGAACAGTAATTAAGGAGAGCCTACGGTCAACAATGGAATATCTTAAGAGTAACCAAATTCACTTGCTTAGCTTAAGTACAGATATGCCAATACACAAAAATATGAAATCAAAGACTTTGGGTTGGAAGGGATAGAGGTCAATGAGTCCTTAGCATTTCCAGCAGTGACTGAAAGGCCTTTTCTATAGAGGGCAGGAACAGGAATTGACTGTATGGAACTCCAGGTAAAGAAACAACCTCTATCGATGCAGATCTTGAACTCAGACAATTTACGGTGGCCAAGAGTCTCGGGTCACAGAAGTAATACACACGAACCAGATCTTCCTGGTTCTGAGGCTAGTTCTCTATTAACTTTGCCTAACTGGTTCTTGTTACATATACATGAGAGAGAGGAAAGCAGAAGAAAAGTATCTGGAATGTGAAAGGAGAAAAAGGAAAAGAACGAAGAATAAAAATGCATCTGATATGGAGTAAGTGAAACCAACACTGACTTTAGGTTTGATCAGTGTTATATGCTGCCTCTTGTTCAAACTTCTACCCTTAAAAATTCAAAACCAAACCTGAGCAGTAAGTCCTTATTTCTTTTCCCAAAGAAATAGGTTCCTAAAAAGGCAAATTAATAATGTAATGAATGTTATGATTAGGTATAGTAATATCTCAGTTAACCAGTGTACTGACAGATAAAGCTTTCCAATTAACTAAGGATTAACATTTATAAAGCATAAACCACCAGGAGAAAGAATGGAAGTCCCAAATTCTCTTTCAGGTACATACACATAGATTACATTAGGTGATTCTCCAATCACACATATATTTTTTACAAATAACACATTTTAGTAAGCAAAAATCTTGATTCTAGTAACCAAATTGTTCAAATTCTTAATGGTAATAATAAAAAAAATTATGAATGAGATTTTTAAAAATATGAAGTTACAGTTGTTGCACAATATTTTAGCTAAGCAGAATAAATCAAAAAGGGAGGTGAGGGAGAAGCTCTGAATTTTCCTAAAGATAGAAATCACAGTTTCCTAAGTTCATGAGGAAAAATATTTTTTAAATTATAGTTTTAATTAGAAATATTTAGAAGCCAATAGTGAAAAATAATAGACGAACCTGTCTGCATAAAGTTAATTTTTTTTTAATGTTAAGCTAATGATCTGTTATAATCAGATCGTAAGGTGTAGGCTCAAACATTTTCCCTTAGCATCATGCAAGAACTCTCCGCAGGTTTGGGAAAAAAAAAAAAAAGAAAGGGTTAGGCAGCAGTGTTAGATAACCTAATCTGCAACCCCTGTTAAGATTTTATGGTTCTGAAAGGCTTCAGAGGATAAGTTCCCCAATACTCTCCATCCTGCTTTAATTAGCGCTGGTTAAATTTGTCAGAATCTCATTTGAATAGGCAGTTCCTAAACTATTTACACCATTGCCTGAATGTGAGCACATACCATTATACATAATTTAAAATTTTAGCAACAGTAATCCAGTTCACAACATAACTGCTAGACAAACAGCATGACTATGAAAATTAAAATTCTACTGCTTACTTTTAAATATGCAGCTACCTCCTGGACAGAAAGCCTCCTCTGGATGGAATTGCCACACTCGTGATCTCCTGGAAACATTAATATTTTATGTGAATCAATATTTCATAAAAAAACAGACAATTCAAAAGCATTTACATACAAAATCTGGATGTAAGTTTTAATGATCTTATAAAACATCAATAATATGAAAGACTAAAATATTACTTATACTTTCTATGAAAAATACAGCTTAATTAAAAATACTGAGGAAAACCATAATATTCCACAGGAACACGTTCTAGAGTCAATTAGAATACTGCCTGTCCTCATTCTTCATTTAATAAATAATCTCTTTACATGCTTAAGAGAAGAATGTTAAATCCCATTGCACACTTAATAATAGTAACCCATAACAATGATTCATGTTTGTAATTCTTTAAATGCTTTTCAAACAACTATCATATAGTAGTATATTAGAAGTGAAAACAAAATATAGTTGGTATATGGTAGTTTGTTAAATGAATGAATTAACGAATGGCACTTAGATTTCAAAGAGTGGAAGATTCCCCTGCTCCTGCCCCCATCTCCACCTCTGGCAAGAGGAGAAGGGCATGGGTGATACTGTTAAGGAAATAAAATATCTATGCAAATAGTCTGTGTATATATCAAGAGTATCCTTGAAAACATGAGAAAGTGAGAGGTAAACTTTTTTCTATTGAAAACCACATCTGGGTGCAGCTAGGTGGAGCAGTAGATAGAGTACTGGCCCTGAAGTCAGGAGGACCTGAGTTCAAATATGACCTCAGACCCAACACTTGACACTTACTAGCTGTGTGACCCTGGGCAAGTCACTTAACCCCAATTGCCTAAAAAAAAACAAAAACAAAAACAAAAACCACATCTTCAGGAACAACAATGACAGAGGTACAGAGAACATACCATGTTTGTCAGTTGTTTCCCAAAAGCATTTAACTTAAACTCATAACAAAATATAGCCTTAAAAGTTCTCTTTCAGGGGCAGCTGGGTGGCGCAGAGGATAGAGCACTGGCCATGGAGTCAGGAGGACCTAAGTTCAAATCTGCCCTCAGATGCGTGACACTAGCTGTGTGACCCTGGGCAAGTCACTTAACCACAACTGCCTCACCCCAAAAAAAAAAGTTCTCTTTCAGGGGCAACTAAGTGGTACAGCAGATACAGCACCAGTCCTGGAGTCAGGATGACCTGAGTGTTCAAATCTGGCCTCAGAAACTTGACATTTACTCGCTGTGTGATCCTGGGCAAGTTGCTTTCACTCCAATATCTCCCATGTATGTTAAAATTATACAAGAAGATATGACAAATGCAACCATGGAGGAAAATACTGTTTAACAACTCTTTGGGTAGCAGCATTCACCCACACAGAAAATGTCGTGGAAGAAGCCCTTGTAGTGTTCAAAAAGCAGAGGGAATTCCTAGACATACTGAAGTTTCCTTGCTTTCATTTGTAGATGAGCAATACCAAATACATTAGGAATTCTACAGGGCCTCCTCAGTGAGATGTAGGAGGACTCAACTGACAATCAGTCAACAACTTAAGCAATTTTGAAATAGCCAGATTACTGAAAAATACATACTCCCCAAATTATGACATGCAGGTTGAAGTACTTCAGACACCATACAAGGAAAACATGCAGGGCCCAGAATCAGTGTAGGCTGGATCATAACTGGGAAACTGAGAAGTGCTTTCAAACAATCCCAAGATGTTGCCAGCCACAAAAATCTAACTTTTAATTTAAATTTTACTGAAGCCTGTTTTTTTAAACCTTACTGATAACACTTTCTAATAATCCCTTTTCCCTCAAAAAAGAAGCCTCAATTTTAAAATTTAAATTTTGTTATTCTGTATTTGACAAACTCAAAAATGAGCATATGTACAGAGAACAGGATTGTACATCAAACTATGAATGTCTAGCATATATAACTTGCATTAAAGAAAATAAATCTAACATGTTGGTTTCAAAACTGTCTTGTCTATCTCCAACTGAGCCTCCTTCTAGAACCATCTTTAGCTACAAAGTTATTACGTTAAACAAAAAAAGAAACTGGCATAGTAATGTGATAAACTATCTCACTATCCAGAGGAAGACATTTCATCTGATCAGAACTCTGGTAAATGCACTGAGTTGAATTCTAATGTCTCAGTGTTTTTGTTGTGATTGTGGTCATTGTGTACCCTGTTCCTGTGGCTTGGCTTACTTTGCTTTGTGCAAACAAGGCTTTGTAAGTTTCTCTGAGTTCCCTTTTTCATGAAGCAATAATATTCTATTATACTAACATACCATAATGTGTTTTGGGGCAGCTAGGTGGCTCAGTGGATAGAATGGTGGGCCTAGAGTCAGGAAGACCTAAGTTCAAATTCAGACTTAGACACTCACTAGCTGTGTGATCCTAGGCAAGTCACTTAACTCTGTTTGCCTCAGTTTCCTCATCTGCATTTTTTTTTAAACTGTTAGAGAAGAAAATGGCAAATCACTTCAATATCTTTGCCAAGAAAACCCCAAACTGGGTCACAAAGAGAAACAACTGAACAACAGCAACAACAACAAAAGAAACCATAATGTGTTTAACCATTTCCCAAATGATAGGAACACATTTTGCTTTCAGTTTTTTCTAGAACAAAAAGTGCTGCTGTTGAATACTCTGATATATTTGGGATCTTTGGCCTCTTTGGGGAGATATATGTTTCCAGTGGGATGGCTACATCAAAGAGAATGAACCATTTAGTCACTTTCATAGCATAGATTCAAGCTGTTTTCTCAAATCACTGGATGTTTTCACAATTCCACCAATGCTGTATTACTGTGCCTACTGCCCCATACCTTCTCCAAAACTGGATATTTACATGTTATATTTTTGCCAATTTGCTGGATATGCAGTGAAAACTTATTTTGATTTTTTTCCTCTGATTATTAGTAACTTGGAGATTTTTTTTCATATGGTTCATAAGCTTATACTTCTTTTTTTTGAAAACTTCATATCCTTTGACTATTTATTGGGGGTTAAACTCCTTTCCTGTTGATGCTATATGGCTGTGAATCACATAACAATCTCAGAAGACTCAAAATTGCACATGATTCAAAGATGAATGGTGGCTATAAGTAGGCTAGAGAATATTATCGACAATGACTTATTGGGGGATAAGTAGTCTAAAATATATTAAAAGATAATGTGACCAGAAACAAAGTCAATCCTGTTATATAGTCAGAATGGTGTGATACCAGGTGGACAACCAGAGTAGTAGTCTAATCTTCACAAATTATGAAAATAATCCAAGGACTCCAAGCACATTAAGAAAGCCCTATATAAAGATGGATATATGGAAAGACATGAACAAGAACAGCATAGTATAAAAAAATGTGGATGTGCTAAGGTCTTCTCTAATAAAGAGAATACCGACATCAGTGGGATCATGGATCCAACTGGAATGTTAAGTATAGCAAGCTTTGTGGACCTTTACTCTCTTAAATGCTCTTCCAGCTTTGTGTCATCTTAAAATAAATAAAACATGTAATCATTCAATAACTGATAAAAAAAATATCAGAAGTCCCAAAAACATCTGTGGAAGACCACCCTCTACACTGATATCAATGCATTAACTAATTGCTTTTTGGAAATTAGCTGGTCAGATACAATTCACTTACCTACTCTTTTCAAGTCATCATCTACACTGTAAGATTTTCAAATGGCTTCTTGAAATCAAAATAAACTATCCCTGACCTACCAATCTAACAATCCTACTGAAAAATTAAGTCAGGTATTATTTGTTAATGAATCCATGCTGGCTTCTAGTTATTACTGATCTACATCAATATTCAATTCACAGATGGACTTGGCAAAAGATAGGATTATAATGGACCCCCTAGGTAGCACAACTTCAGAAGAAGGAAGATTATTATAGTTTGGGAAAAGAAGTCATGGGGAGGAGAGAGTCTCAGATGAGTGGGGGAAGAAGAAGAGGAAGGCACAGGTTCAAGAAGGGGCAAAAGTAGAAGAGGAAATCCTATCACCATACCAGGGACAGAGTCAGTCGATAAAAGTCTAACTAGTAGACTTTGTTTCAGATAGTTCTGCCAGGAAGAAAAGAGTAGGGGAATGGAGTAAGAGCATACTAACAAAAGAAGCCAAAGCTGCACAAATTTTTATCTAAACAGTAGCTCTTTCTTCTAGATCATTTTGTCAAACCAGGCCCCTTACTCATGAATCTTAGATTCAAAAGGGAAGAGGCAAAAGAAACGTCTGATGAGGGATTAAAATATTTATCATAAATTACATAATTTCTTGTCTTTGTAAATTCCAACCACTGGTTCTCCTCCTCTGGAGGAGCCAGAATTAGTAGTCCCTCTGCCAAGTGACCTCCCTTTATATATATGAATTCAGTAATCTCATTTCTTTAAGTCTTTGCTTTCCCATGTTAAAAAAGCCCTTCAACCAATCTCACTAACATAATTTCAAGTACCCCTGTCATACTAAGCAACCTATTTGAGGCATCCTTGTTTCTCGGTGTCATATCATGGTCTGACCAGGAGAGATTATAAGTGGGACTACTATCCTCCCTTGACCTAGACACTAACTTCAAAATGAATTTTTGGGCAGTTATATAACACAGCTGACATACTAAGCTCACAGTCATCTAGGGGTGATATCTTTATGATTTGCCCTAAAACTCCCATGGTGAGCCACGGGGAGAAGGAGAGCTACAGCTAGAGACCCAGGTCTTTTTTCACATGACCAGCTAAAAAGTCATGAGTTCTCAGCTCCCTTATTGGGCAGGTAGAGTAAGTGCATTTGTACAAAGAGCTTCACATACACTTCTCTACTTCAAAGGTCTGTAATTTCATCAAGGTGGAACTGCAGATTGCAACCTCTATAAAGTTTAGTACACGGTTTTTAAGAGTTGCTAGAAACAAAAAATTTACAGGCAATATGGTGAAAAACTTCTCCAAATTTAGACAGGCTAGTCTAAGATTATATGTGGTTCATCACTGGAGCCTTGCACGTGTCCAAATTACATTTCATCTTCTTTGATTTAGTACATGTTTCTCGTCTTAACATTCTGTCAAGATGGATCTCAATTCTATCAAGAATAGCCAAATTAAGTTATCAGTGAAATTTAGAACAATGTCCCATGTAATGCAAGAAGTTATTTCTATTGTGGTTTGAAAAAACTTTCTACTAATAGTGAGGTACCAACAAGGAAGATCCTATTAAATGTTTCCTCTGCCCCTCCTAATTTCCCTTCTTCAATTGCTAGATAGGATAAACAATGAAGGATAAAAACCAAGCTAAACAAAGTTGTCTTTAATCAAATTTTTGCATTATGGAGAATCAATTATGTTTTTGCTTAATAGCCTTTTCTATAACTGAGTCAGGAAGACACAAGATTTCATCTGAAAGCCAGATCTAGTCTTACTTGAGACTTTCCTTTACAGGACAGTATAGGACAGGGATGTTCTCAACCTTTGTGTGTCATGGATTCTTTTGGCAGCCTATTATAGCTCCCTTCTGGGTCAAACAGTCAGATTACAAAAGAAACCAAGTTCATGGATCCCAGGTTAAGAATCCCTAGTAAAGGATGAGATGAGAGAGGCTACCGCTATCAATGGTTCTAAAGTTGGAGTCACTAGGAGAGGAAAAAAAAAAACCAAAAACCTCAAGCCTGAGCATAGAAGAAAAACTTCAAGTCTCCCCCTCCTTTCACTAAGGGATATATGATATATAAACAGTGATCATGGATAGGAAATAAAAATAAGCAATAGAGATAAAAACAAGATTTGCTAGGATGAACTGCCATGGTAGACATGAACTAGACAGAAATCTGTGGTGATTGCATAAGCCTAGAAAAATTTGTGGGATTTCTAAAACTAAACAGAACCTGAGCAAAATGCAATAAAGCTCATATTTTATTTGAATCCTACACATTTTTACTTTAATCCATCAACAAACATCCTGAAGGAGATAGCGCTTGAGTGGCATCTTATGAAGAAGCTAAGGATTCTAGGAGGTAGAAGTAAGAGACAGCAGGTGTTATGAAGCACAGAGCCAGGAGACAGAACAGCAGCAGGCAGGCCAGCAAGGCTGCACCCAAAAGTGTGTGCAAAGAAGGGATGTGTAAGAAGACTGGAAAGATGGGAAAGATCGGGTTGTGAAAGACTAACCTGTTAAACAGAGTTTATATAAAATCCTACAGGTAATAGAGAAGCATTGGAATCTATTGAGCTGGGGGGGGCTTGAGACACTCACACCTGTGAAAAGGATTGATTGTAAAAAGGAGAGTGAAGTATAAACAGCTAAAGAAGGATTTACAATTTCCATGTATTCACCGAACATGTAAGTGACCCTCTATTTAATCTTTTGAAAAAGATTTTTTTTCATTAAATTATTACTGGGAAATGTGAATTCATTTTACAAGAAGATATTTTAATGGCCTCTTTTTTGAAAGGAAGGAGAAGAATGAGAACTTTGATTTCACTGCTGTAGGGAACTCCCATTGAAAAAACTCCCTCCACCAAGGCAGATGGGCACCTGCTGTGCAATGTCTAGACTTATGAGAGCTGCTAGGGGGCACTAGGTGGTTAAATGACTTGCCCAGGGTCACACAGTGTTATTAGATGCTGGACTTGAATATGGGTCTTCCTGACTCCAAAGACAGCTCTCTAGCTATTATCCTTACAATGTCTCTCAAAGGCTTTAGTAAAAACTACAAACATGAGTACCTGTAAATTTTTACTGGATTAGTGACCTCACTAATATACAGACTGCCTCTTATTGGTGCAAATTACAATTTATTCTTTCTTATCTTAAGCAATTCTCACCCCAGTTCTCCCTTAGAATCTCCACAAAGAATCTGTCAATCCAGGGTCTTTCAGTTCTTTATTTCATTGTTGTTGGTACAGCACTTGAACTGTCTATCACCACCCTGGTCCCTCACCCCTCCTTCTAGGTATGCTTCCTTTTTCAATTATACATTTCCTCACATACTTATGTTAATAGTCAGAGAATCATTAAACTGGGTTATCTTTGTGGTTGTATTTATCAAAGAATCTTATGATCTTACTACATGTAAGAAAAACTCTTAGAGGAAAGCATTTCAGACTGGAATTTGCTTAACCCAAATGCTCTTTAGTAATCAAACAATAAATACACCAGGAGCTGGCATTCTATGTACCTTTCAGCCAATTATGAGACTGTAAAATGTGGTCTACAATACTGGGAGAGGCTGTCAGTTCCTTCCCCAAATATTATCCAGATTATTCTCAGTAGATGTTCAGAGTATTATCAAAGATAAGAAAGGAGGCAAAGATCATGATTTACTGTTTCTCAATAGCCTTTTTTAGAAGAATACTATTCATGATCTTTTTCCATTCTTTTGTTATTATCTTGTAAAATGCTTTTTAATATTCACTGCCTCTAGTACTGAGTGTGGTATAGTCATTCTGCCCTGCTTCAAGAGTCATTTCAATTTCCTTGTACAGCAAATCAGATTCAAGTGCGGTCATTCCATTGTTACCGACAAGAACAACAGATTGCAGCAGAAATGACCTCAATGTCCCGTTGCGAATGCCTATTTATTGTTGTCCTTCCACTCCAGTTCACAAATGCTCTCAGAAATTTCTAGCTCTATTATTCCTCAATATCAGGCTGGAGGCTGACTTCTCACTTCTGCTTTTAACTGATGCACAAGATAATACTACTCACAATCTCTCATCTTCTTCTGTGGTATTTTACAACTGAGTTTGGGTTCCCAAGTGGAGTTACCTTTGGCTGCCATTTTTTTTCAATGGCAAGAAAATCAAATGTTTACAGATAAAGTGACTTCTACACTCTCCTGTCCTCCATTATTCCAAAAACAACTTCAACTCTTTCGCAAACTTTTGCAGAAAACGGTGATCATCAAGTTCAAGGTCAACAGTAGTATCTTTTCAGTATAGGTAACTGGCAGAAAACTTGAGGTGGAAGCAAAACTTGAGGTCAAAGCTATTAAAACTGTTTGTACTATCTCTTTCTCATTTTTTATCCTTTCTTATTTTATATCAATTTTTTTTTTAAACCTTTGCTCTGGTCAGTCCAAAAGCTGATTTTGGATATGAGTCCCGTTAGTTGTTTCCAATGTATTTATGGTATAGTCAATTTCATTTCTTTGGTGTTGTTGCTTGACTCTTCTTGAGGAAATTATTAGCCTATGGCCCCTGTCTTTCATGAAACCTGGTCTCTATTTTATATCACATTTTTCTGGTATCCTCCCCAGCACCAACCTTCACAAGGAGGTCACCTAGTCCACAATGACTTTGGAAGATCTTGTCAAGTTCTATGTATATTTTCTCTATTTCTTCATCCTCTGTAACAAAGGGTGTTACTGCAGTTTTCATAGCAAGTTGCTCTGTTTATGCTGGTTGTGAGCATTACATGTCAAAACAACCAAGTATCCTACATTTCTTGCTGTCTTTGGGGACAGACATGAAGATAGCAACTCCACCAAGTCTTTTTCTTCCCTCAAGAAGAACCTGAGAGCTATTAATCTGTTACATTGTAACTTCCTTTTATCTTCTGGTTAATATCAATGCTGACATGGCTCAGTCTTCTGATATATAAATATGCTGATTACTGGGGGAAATCTTGCATTGAGTATAAAGTTAATTAAAATTTATCGACGTTCTAAAAACAGTGATCCTTGGCACCCTGTGTTAACTTTACAGAAGCAGAAGGGAAGTGAGAAACATTTCAAACTTTTTCCTTGTTTCATAGGTTGTCATAGCCAAAGAATTCATTACCTATGGTTACCCTACAGGTGAAAATCCTTTTCATACTTAGATTAAATATCAGACAGTACACTAAGTCTGTTGGAAAATATGAAACCATTCCACAAATAAAAACAAAACAATCCAAAATAATGGTAAATGCAACAAAATTAAATACAAAACTTGAAAGTGTTTCTAGTAATATGTGACATTAATTTTAAAAACTTTTAATGCCAATGTGAATTTTGAAGCAATTACCTGCTACTTGTGCCAATCGATCGTGAAGTTTGTATAATGAATTCATCATGAGATTTTTTTCATTTGCCTAGAATTAAGAAAGTCTATTAGAGAAATATCAAATTTCATTTAAAAATGATTCAAATAACCATTAGGCAGAAAATAAAGGAAAGATTAGAAGTATATAAAGGCTCTACAAGACATAGAGTTAAACATTCATATATATATATATGTATATGTATGAATGTTTAAGTGCATATAGCTCAGAATTTGAACTCCACTGCTTCTGAGGACCCAGCTGAAAGTGGCTGGAAAATGACTCAGGAAACTAGCTGGTAGAGGAGAATAATATAGTTCTCCAACTAGGGTTAAAAAACAAAACAAAACAAAACCTGAGGCTTATATGATTAGCCTGTATCTTATGGGATAAGATCAAGATCTAGAACTTGAAGGGAATTCAGAGGTCATCTAGTCCACCACTATAATTTTACAGGTGAGGAAACTGAGGTCCAGTGATGTTAAATGACCTCCCAGATCAATACAGAAAGATGCTACTATCCTCCCTTTATGCATACTGATAGCCTCTTTGCTGACCTTCAGTCTTGTGTCTCCAACTGCCTACTAGACATTCCAAACTGGAAATCCTGAATACATCTTAAATTCAACATGTTCAAGACTGAACTCTTTCTTTCCCCCTAAGCCCTCCCCTCTTCACAACTTCCCTATTACTGTCGAGGGTACCATCATCCACCTAGTCACCTGGGTTCACAACCTAGGTGTTATCCTTGACTCCTCATTGATTCCCCCCTTTCCCCCAAATCCAATCTGTTACCAAGTCCTGTTGATTCTAACTTTCTAGGATACCTGGTTGCAGGGCCACTTCAAGTCTGGACTTTCAATAGCCTGCTGATTTGTCCCTTGGTTTCAAGTCTTTCCCCACTACAGTCTATCTTCCACTCAGCTATCAAAGCAATTTTCCTAAAGAGGAGGTCTGACCATGACACTCCCCTGCTCAATAAAATAAACTCAAGTGGTTCCCTACGACCTACAAGATCAAATATAAAATCATTTGTTTGGCTTCTCCAACCCTTCATAACCTGACCCCTGCCTATCCTTACTCCCCTCCATGTACTCTAGGATTCAGTGACACTCGTCTCCTTCTCATTTCTCACACACAACATTCCATTCCATGCACTTTCACTGACTATCCTCCATGCTTGGAATTCTCTCCCTCCTCACCTTTGCCATCTGACTTCTTTCAAGTCTCAACAAAAATCCCACCTTCTGCAAGAAGGTTTTCCTGACCCAACTTAATGCTAGCACCTCCTGAGATCATGTCAATTTACCCTGTATATCTTGTCTGAAAATGGTTATTAGCAGATCATCTGCCCCCGGGAGCTTGTGAGCTCATGAGGCCTGTGGGCTATCTGTCTTCCTTTGTAAAGCTAGTGCTTAGCACATGCCTCTCACATAGGAGGTGCTCAATAAATTCTTGTTGACTTGAGTTTGCTGACATCAAGCTACATGCTTTCCTTTTAAAGTCTGTCCTTGATATTCAATTTAACCAAATTTTATCTATGTGAAAATAACAAAGGAGATGAAATGCCATCATTTGCCTAATCTGTACCCCACAAATAACAGTCCTTTACGTTCTTATGTAGACATAAGGTCAAATAACTTGACATGACACCTAGGAACGAAGGACTACTTCTTAACCATCAACATGATGTAGTCTGAATCCCACCTTGGACATTTCATAGTTGCATAGTGACTAGACATCTGAGCCTCAGTTTCCTCTCATCTACAAAAAGGAAAAAATAAAACCTATCATGCCTATCTCAAAGATCTGTCAGTAGGCTGAAATGAAGTAAAGTATGTAAAATTTCTGGCTGTATATTAGAGTACTTTACAAATGTCAATTATCATCATCACCTTCATTCACCTCAAAAGGCAGAACAGTAGGGCAGCTAAGTGGAGCAGTGGATAGTGCTCTGGCCTTGGTGTCAGGAAGACCTGAGTTCAAATCCAGCCTCAGACACTTGACACTTACTAGCTATGTGACCCTTGGCAAGTCACTTAACCCTAACTGCCTCACAAAAAAAAAAAAAAAAAAGAGGCAGAAGAGTCCTAGACAGGTATAATTGCTGTGGCAATTAGCAGCAAGAGCAACAGAAACCTAAGGATCTTAGTTTCTGAAAGTTGGTATGATTTCAGGTAAACAATAAATATTGGAGTATGCAATACTCTGCCACTGCCAAGTTAATAATACACAAAATATAGATTGTCTCCCTACTAGGAAAAAGTAAAAGAGCTAGGAGATTGCCTCTCTAACCTTTAGCTTTCCAAGAAAGAAAGATATGTTTCTTTAAAGAATGGAAGAAATGTTTCAAAGGGAAAATAAAGAGGAAAAGTATCCATCCACAAAGTCAGGAGATTAGAGGATAGAATGTAACAGAAAGACTGATCCTTTACAGCTATGGAACAGGTTTGAGACTCTTCCTGTAGAGAAGGCAACCACAGCCTGAGGAAACAATACTCATGCTGCAAGAAATGAAGAGAATCCACAGATAAAATGAAGGATGAGGACATACAATGTACCCGCAAGAGAAAGAAGAAAGGAGGCATGAAAGGATTAAGGAGTAAGGATCTGAAGGGGACTCTAAGAGAACAAAAAAAAAGGAGAAAGTAGTAATTGATAAGGCAAGTTAACAAAGAAAAGGTTAAGTAAAAGCAAACTATTATTTAAAAAAATTAAAACAAATCTGAAACAAGTGGTTTGTATGAAAACAGGAAGGTAATAGGGCATGGCTGAAGTTGCTGAGACAATAAAGGATGGTTTGGCTGTCCAGTTATTAAGAGGTTATAAAAGACTGAAAATGTCTTAACAGGCACTTAGGAGCCAAGGTGTAAACACTCACTGTGGTAGTGGAGTTTAAAAAAAAGAAGTTTGAGAATTTCAATCACTAGGAAGGTATAAGTGTGAAATGTTTGTATTTCTGCTTTTTTAAGTCAATGTTCCAAGCATAGGATGGCCTCCTTCAGAGAAGAGAAAATGAAGGAACTAGAACACTTCATTACTAGAAGAAGAAACTTCAAGTTTAAGTTTAAAAAATACTCCAGTTTAAGTGTTCTCAAACAAAGAAAAATAAATGGGACTGCAATGGGGGTGGAGTGGAAAAAAGATCTGAAATACAAGAGAAGTACACTTGTCATAAGGCTAAAAAGGAAATAAAAAGGATACCTGGAGTTAAAAAAAAAAAAAACTAACACACTTTCTGAAGAAGAGAGAGCTGTAAGAATTTGTCCTAGAAGGGAAGATTAGGTAGAGTCACTGAAGCTTTCAGCATCCAAGAAGAGTCTAAGGAAGAAGGCTGCTGTCTCCTCCCTCCCTACCTAGGCCAGGCTTATCTGCTGGGATGATAAGTATCAAGGATAGTCTTCCAGGACCAAAACATTAGAGAATCTCCAAGTAAAAGAAATGACAACCCACTTACGGTGATTCATATGAACATAAATAACACTTCCCAAAGGAATCTAAAAATTGCCAAAGATTATTAAATTTTGGATAGGAAACTAAAAATTGTAGAGGCATATTTTTTTCCAACACTGCTTATTTAAAGCATGAAATCCAGAAGATAAAATTGATGAGAAGTCAACAGCTGGCTAAGACCATGTTGTCTGACAATGCAATTGTGATTTCTGTACCACAGCTAAAAATATGGGAATGACAGATGCCTACTCTGACATGGGAGTGTATTCATCAAAGACTTGTAAGACTATGTTTGTCTGGCATCTTAGAAATATAAATAAAAAGGTTTTAAACTAAGAAGGATGGGAAAGAAGACTCTCTATATATATTCACCTCACTAGTTACTACAAAGAATAGCACAAGAAAGGAAAAAAGAAAAATTGTAGTCAAAACACCCAGAAGTTCACTAAAGGAAAAAAAGGAAATGAGCCCCAGGATTTCTCTTCAAATGAGGAGAGAAACAGAAGCAATTGTCACAGATGCATATTACAGATGACATGGACAGAAAGAAATTAACAGACAAGCTCAGGAAACAAATCATAAAGTAGGCAAAAAAGCATGATAATAGTAGTGATTGGGGACATCAATTATCCAGAGATCAAATCAAGTGTTCTCCATCAAAACCAGCAAAGCTAACCACTTCTTGATTTACCTTAATTAATTTAATCCTTCAAAAGATGGAGAATCTAATAAGGAGAAACTCTTTTAGAAAATGATTCTCACTAATGAGGAGGAATTGATGTTTATAGTGTAAAAAACAGGAACACAATAAATCAGTGACCAAAGGATATGAACAAACGATTCTCAAAAGAAGAATCAAGGAGAACAGGGGACGCTGCATAGTGACAAACACCAAGTACGTAGAAGAAAACAGACAGATGTATAATAGAGCTTAAAAACATGAGAGATTCTTGAAGAGGATAACGCTGGATGCTTTGAAGAAGAAGCTGCTTATTTACCAGGGAATGATGGAGTAGGGCTACAGAAACTGTCAGGTGAGAGATTATCCAGTAATGGTCACAGGAAAAAGAGAAGAGGATGGAAGGAGGAGTAGGAAGAAAAAAAGGAAGAAAGGAGGACGAGGAGAATTATACACCTAGCTCAAGAGTATTTAACCTGACCTGACAGCAATCTAGGGCAGGGATGGGGAACCTGCAGCTTCTAAGACAACAGGTGGCCTTCTAGGTCCTTGGGTGAGGCCTTTCAACTGAGTCCAACTTTTACAGAACAAATCCTTTTATTAAGGGGATTTGTTCAGTGAAGTTTGGATTCAGTCAAAGGACTGCAGTTGAGGACCTCAAGGCCACAGGTTCCCCATCCCTGACCTAGGGATCTGTAATCTTTCTAAGACTTATTAAAAGGAATGTTAACTACCTACTTCTAGTGTTCACAAGGATACAAATGACATTTCCAAAAGGAACCTTTAGGTAAGAAAGTGAAGATCACATCGGCAGACAGGTGATTTTCCTCACTGTTGCTTGCTGATGGAAAGGAAGGTAAAAGAGAAAAATTAATATGAGAAGTAAATAGCTACCTAAGCTACCTAAGAAGATAAGTGT